GACGAGCGGACAAAATTGGGCTGGAACTCAGGTAGTTCCCTCAAAGTAAATTTTAATGAACTCGCTGTCACTGCCATTGTAAAGGGGTGGCGGCGCAGGTGTCACGCAAGGCGCCTTTTGCGAATTATGCATCGCGCATTTCGTCCTCGCTTGCTCAAAAGAGAGAAGAAGAGGAAATCAGTAAAGCAGTCTCAAGCTGACTTTTGGCCGGTTTAACTTACTGTTAACTGTGTGGACGTTTGGTTTGATTGTATGAGCACATCCTCCTACTTTCGGTACCTTTCGTCGACGATCTGGCACAATCCGATCTATAACCGCATTTGAAATTTAAATCTATATGCATTATGATTGGCAGAAAACACATGAGACCCAAGCAATGTAGGAAGACGTATAAGGGGGAGAGGAGATCGCTGGCATAATTTCCTTATTCCTTTGACGTTCCGAACCTTCGCATGACAGAAAGTACAGCCCACAGTGTACTTAACACACATCTGTCGGGATTTAACTTTAACTGTGAAAATGGCTTTTTCCTACAGCGACTGGTAGGCAGCCAGCAAATCAATAATCTATCGATCGAAAAGCCGGAAGAGTAAACATGTGATCCCAGAGGGGATCTCCAGTTCTCCATTTATATATATATTCCCATGTTACAATTGAAAAGTGATCCTGACTTCCTGCCTTTGATTCCGTTGGTTGAACCGCACTCGTAGGGCCTGGTAGGCCGCCGGGAGAATCGTGCAGTGGTTGGTGGAGGTCGGTACGGTGTATCAGGCTTCGAGCGTTTCCCTAGTTGTCTGGTCGGTACCTCGGCGTAGGATTTCGGCGTTCTGGAAGGCGAAAGCGTGCCTAGAGACTGCACAATGTTCCGCCACCAGTGAGAGTTGGTCCATTCTTCTCACCTCAGGTGCGACGGAGATCCGATGAAGAAGTTGGTGACACAAATAAACACGACGCTCGCTAGGTTACAGAGCAACGGTGCCATCTCAAAAGCAGATCAAATGGCCATTAAGCCAACAGATTCGGCTATGGCGAGATTCTATGGGCTGCCGAAAGTGCACAAACCTGGTGCTCCACTTCGACCTATCGTATCTTTGCGCGGAACGCCTACATTCAACCTGGCAAAATGGCTGTTCCGACGTCTGAACTGTCTCACATCAGGCTCCGCCGTACATTTCTTGGAAAGACTTCAGGGTCTACACCTTAATGTACCTCACTCTTCACCTCAATTCCTCAGAGTCTAGCAATTGAAACTGTCGGCGATCTACTCGAGAGTCAATATGATGACGAGACCAATAAGCTTAAACGAGGACACCTTATCCAGATGCTCCATTTTTGCCTCAAGACCTATTTCACCTTTGAAGGAACGGTCTATGAACAAATCAAAGAACTCCAATGGGTTCGCCGCTGTCTGGTTTCATTGCTGAGGCGGTCCTTCAAAAGTTAGAGACGCTGGTGTTCGCAACCCACAGACCAATATTTTGGGCACGGTATGTGGACGATACCTTCGTCATCCTCAAGCGGGAGATGGTCTCCGAATTTCACACGATCCTGAACTCTGTTTTTCCGGACATCCAGTTCACAAGGGAGGCAGAAGTCAACAACCAACTAGCGTTCCTAGACGTCCTGGTCCACCGCAAAACCAACGGGAGCCTAAGAACAACGGTATACCGAAAGGCCACCAACACACGTCAGGTTCTCAGTTACTACCAGTAACCACCCGTTGTGCCATAAACGTAGCTGTGTGCGGACTCTTTACAAGAGGGCGGAAACTCACTGCAGCGAGGCAGCCGACAACGTAGCCGAACTTTATTATCTTCGGCGGATGTTCATCTCCAACGATTTGTCCTCGCAGTTTCATCGAACGCAGCAGGCAACCAAAGAAGGCTATAAGGCCAACGAGAGAACAACCAAAATTGTGGCGGACGCTACAGTATACTGAGAATGTATCCGAAGCAGTCGCTCGTCTCTTACAACCACTGGGGATCGGCGTCACCCACAGACCTAAAGCGACGTTTCGTCATGAAACCCAAGTCCCCTCTGTCACGAGGCGAAACAGCGAATGTCGTCTACCGTGTCCAGTGCAGTTCCTGTGAGGCGAACTACGTTGGATAGACCGGAAAACGTCTACAATCCCGCATAAGTGAGCACGCAAGGGCAGTGAGAAGAATGGACCAACTCTCACTGGTGGCGGAACATTGTGCAGTCTCTAGGCACGCTTTCGCCTTCCAGAACGCCGAAATCCTACGCCGAGGTACCGACCAGACAACTAGGGAAACGCTCGAAGCCTGATACACCGTACCGACCTCCACCAACCACTGCACGATTCTCCCGGCGGCCTACCAGGCCCTACGAGTGCGGTTCAACCAACGGAATCAAAGGCAGGAAGTCAGCATCACAAGCCCAGGTGAACACAGTTCGCACCCAAACACCGATGAGGGGGGCCAGCAGGCCGATAAAGGAGAAACAGGCAAGGGGCCAGCAGCCACCGAGGTGCAAACGGGCAGAGGCAAACTGGCGACAATTAGGAGAAACGCGGGTCAGTCACAACAAATGCTGGCAATGCAGACGAGGTCAATGAACTTGCCATCCCACACAGCCCACCCGATTAGGAGATGGAGGAAGGGACCGTCCAGCACGACAGCAATTAACTTCTCTTCCCGCAGCAGATCCTATACGAATAGCAGTAGGAAAGACAACACTCCCGCATACTCAGCACCCATAAATACTGTAAGGCGCCGTACAGAACCCACCTCCGACGAAGGAAGCTTGTTTGCTTTTGAAACGTCAGGCTATTAAACCTATGGTTCCCGAGATCGCTTCTTCTTCTCATTTATCCCGGGGACGCTCATTTTCGCCTTAATTGGCAATATATATATATATATATAAATATTGAAAAACAGGCATCCCAAGAAATATAATCAGAAAGGTGAAGCTCTTTGGGAAACAGCAAAATTTTATTGTGAATTTTCGAGACTGGTTCCCCAGCTCGTCTTCGGACAACGGGTGTGCAAAAACAATTAACTTTTAGACTGAGTCCGGCAAAAGGAATCCATGATTAGAAGACGAGGTGGCGAGCATACGTAGGTTTCGATAAATTCTCGTCGGGCCAGTACAGTTATATGAGAACTGGGTAGAAGAAAAACACGTCAGCGATAAGAAAAATCGATAAAAGTTGTACTTAAAACACGGGCGGGGTGTGGGAATGTGGGAATTTTCGCAACTCCGAATCCACGATTGGTTAAGGTTGTCATTTCGGGGTTGGCTGACTCCGTTTGAATCTGTCCTTAACGATTTTGTATGTGGCATCTAAATCGATATGCCGGTTGATGCATGCCTCATCTGAGAGCATTGCCTCCAGGAATTCGCGGCCTTTCCTTGTTTGGCGGGCGCCAACAATGCGAGTGTTCTCCCATGCGAATTTATGTCCAGTGTCTAGTGTGTGCATGGCCACCTGGGATAGATGGTCGCGTCTCTTCACCGCTAACTGATGCTCATGTATACGGGTTGAGACAGATTTCCCAGTTTGGCCACAATAAACGGCATCACAACTAGAACATGGGATTTTGTAGACGACACCTTTTCTTTCAAGGTAGCCGACCCTATCCTTAGGGTGCACAAGCTGTGTGCGTAAGGTAGTTGCCGGCTGGTGTGCTACGTGTATCTGGTAATTTTTAAATTGTCTTTCGACAAGTTCAGATACATTTTTGACGTATGGGAGAGTTCGCCCTGTGGTTGGTTTTTGTGCCTGAGCGGCCGTTGCATTGGAAATACCTTTTTCCTTGAGTTGCTGGTTCATAATTCATTGACGTCTACAGTCATGCGGGTACCCATTTTGGGAGAACAGTTTGTAGAGGTATTTCATTTCTGCTCGATAACTTGTTTCGTCAGAGCAGTGGGTTTTGGCTCGATTCAGAAGGCTGTAGACTGTGCTCCGTTTGTGAGAGACAGGGTGTTTACTCTCAAAGTGTAGAATGACCTCTGAATACGCCTCTTTGCGATAAATTGATGTCTGCAGTTATTCATCGGTTTTTCGACGTACAAGGACATCCAGGAATGGGAGTTGTCCATCGACCTCTGTTTCCAAAGTAAATGTAATTCCTGGAAATATGGAGTTAATATTGGTATGGAGCAGATTAAACTGATCTTTCGTGACGATGACAAAAGTGTCATCTACTTTGAGTAAATGTTCGACGTCGGTTCCCCGTGTCGTCGTCAGACTAGAGTAAGGGTGCAGAAAACAATTAAAATTTCAAACGTACTACAAAATCAATACTCATTTGGTGCCTCAGCTAGTAAACTGCCGTCGTATGTATCAGGCCGTATTGATCGGCTTTCGTCTCTTCCACTTTCCTCTGGGATTTGTGTACGTGGCATCTAACTCGATATGCCTATTGATGCATGACTCATCGGAGTGCATGGCTTTAAGAAACTCTCGGCCTTTTTTAGATGTGCAAACTCGACGATGAGAGTTTTGTCCCATGCGAAAGTGTGCCCAGTATCAAGAGTGTGCATGGCCATTTGAGACAAGTGGTCTCGCCTCTTAACTGCAAGTTGATGTTCGTGGATGCGTGTAGGGGCAAATTTTCGCGTTTGGCCACAATATACGGCATCACAGGCATCGCATGGGATCTTATAGACGACTTCTTTTATATCGAGATAGCCAACCCTATCCTTAGGGTGTACAAGCTGCGTGCTTATAGTAGTCGTCGGTTTGTGCGCTACTTTTATCTGGTGT